TTGACTGGACTCGAACCTGCAACCGTCTGGTCCGTGGGCCAACGCTCTAACCGTTGAGCCACACTGGCCAGGGCTGTATGTTGTTTTTTAAAGAACAACTGTAGCCCTGACCAGTCGCTTCGTTGGTTGGAGCAGTGTCCCGTACACCAAGGGGGTTGCGGGTTCAATTCTTGGTTAGGGCACATACCTAGGTTGTGGGCTCGATTCCAGGTCAGGGCACACACGGGAGGCAACCAGTCGATGTTTCTCTCGCATCGATGTGTGTGCCCTTCCCCCCGCCCCCTTGTTCTCTCTAAAATCAGTTAAAAACAAACATATCCTTGGGTGAGGATTAAAAAAGAAATTTCTAAGAAAACTGTATACTACATGTAGTATCACCGTTACCTTATTCACGGAAAATAAATTTGATTGTAAAAAATAGTTTTAATATGCTTAGGAAAAGATTGGATGACTACCCAGCAAATGACTATTATTTCTGAGGATAAGAGTTCAGAGGACTCCACCTTTGTGTGGATATTTGGGCTTCTTTGTAGTGAGCACAGGCTACTCTTACAAGGTGCTGACTGCTAGGTCAGCTGAGCTCTGTGCCGAGCGGAGTGTACATGGGATGAGAGACCGACGGCAGAGGCCCACAAGGACCTGGTAGTTTTATTTGGGGAGAGAATGTGTGCAGGTCCACCTGACCGCAGGCCTCCAGTGCACACTGATTGAGTACACACTGTCGGACTTGAGAGGAAAGAAGAAGAAACATGCTTTCTTCCATAGCTGATAAATAGGAGTGATACCGAATTTATTCATTTAAATAAAAGTAATACATGGTACACTGTAGAGTCAAGTAGAGAGAAAAAACGCTTCATGTATTGTCACTTGGCTATTTGGTAATTTCGTTTCTTCTTTTTCTTAAAAATATTTTTTATTGATTTTTTTTTTATGAAGAAGGGAGAGAGAGATAGAAACATGTTTGTGACAGAAACATCTGTGGGCTGCCTCCCGCACGCCCCCTGCTGGGGAGCGAGCCCTGGCCGGGGATGGAGCTGGGAACTTGGTCCCGGGGGTGATGCTCAGTCTGCCGAGCCAGCTGGCCGGGCTTGTTAATGGACATTCCCTTTTGCAGGCTTATATATATATATTGGTATTCTTTTGCATGTCTAACTTTAGGGTAAATTCTAGCAGTGGAATTGTGGATAAAAGATTCTTTATGGGAACATTTAGACTGATAAAGCAGAGGGATGTAATCTGGGGAGGGCACACATGGAGATTTCACACAGGCAGTGGTGTTACATGTTGTAGCTGAGTGGTAGGTGCTACCTGGGTGTTCTTTGTACTTCACGGTTTGTACAAGGTATGAATAAAATATTTGAGTAAAAATACTTTTTTTTATCCTCACCGAGAACATTTTTCCATTTTTTTGTTCAGATAGACTGGAAGGGAAAGAGAGGAAGAGAGAGAGAGACATTGATATGAAAGGGACACATCGAGTGGCTGCCACCCGCACGACCAACCAGGGCCGGGGACAAACTGCAATTGAGATACGTGCCCTTAGCGGGAACCGAACTCGGGTCTCTCGGGACCGCAGGCCGACTCTCTAACCGCTGAGCCACACCAGCCAGGGCTGAGTAAAAATATTTTCCCTCTTTGGAAAGATATGAAAATTTGTCCTCAATGTTTTGTCCTAAAATCACTCCCAAAGGCGTAGGAGACTGAATGTGCCTGTTGGTTGCGTCCTGGGGGCTGTTGATTGTTGTTTTGCTGCTGTTTATTTTCATCTGTTTCTAATGGAGCGAATCTGCTTTAAGAAGGTCCAAGCAGCGAGTGGAAAGGCTGGGAGAGGCGCTGCCTCCGGCCTCTAGCCCCGTCTCCTCTGGGGCCCTTCTGGGTCTGCAGCTCCAAAAGCGGTTTCGTCTTTTTGTTACTAATCCTCGCCGGAGGATGTTTTTCCACGGATGTTTTTGTTTTTAGATAGAGTGGAAGGAAGGGCGGGGAAGGCGAGAGGGACGAGAGACAGCGATGTTCTAACCGCTGCGCCACGCCGGCCAGGCCTAAATTGTTCATCATGTGTTCACACCGCGTCCTCTCCGGTCTTCAGTACCAGGGGTCTGTTCACTGTCGTGTTGTAGGCAGGGCTGCAGGTATCTGACTGTCGCCCGCCTTTCGACGCCTTGTCGTCTTACTGTATTTATCTGAGTATTTTTGGCCAAATCAGTATTGATTGTTTAAATGGTATTGCTCTCCAATGTGACATAATTACTTTGGCTTTTCCTGGAATAACTGCTTTAGTTTCATTTTTATTTATTTGTTTGTTTGTTTATTGTGTTTTAATCCTTAATCGAGGATGTGGGTTTTTTTTTGTGGTACGTGCCCCTAGCGGGAACTGAACCTGGGACTCTCTGGTCCGCAGGCCGACGCTCAACCGCTGAGCCAAACTGGCCAGGGCTCGAGGATGTGTTTTTATTGATTTTTTTAGAGAGAGAGGAAGGGAGATGTACCCTAACTGGGAACCGAACCCACAGCTCTTCCGGGGAATGACACCCCAACCAGCTGAGCCACACTGGCCAGGGCTAACTGCTTTATTATGTCTGTGTCCTCAGTGGACAGTTTGTACCTGTCACTACCAAGTTTTACCATGTTGTCGAGCATCCCAGTATAAGTTTCTGAGAAGTAAATTCTATGAATATGGTAGATCGTGTGTAAAACAGTTATCAATGCACAGGAGTTCCCATGTTGCGGCTCCGGTCTGGACTGGAGGTTCTGTGGGTGCTGCCTCCCCTGCCCCCCAGGAGGTCTCCTGCCACGGGACTTCTCTGCTGGAGCCTGTTTCTGGCTCCCAAGTTTTCTTCTTGTTGCCTCCTTGTTTGGGTGAAATATGTCCTCAAAGTAGTTTTTTGTGAAAATGGGAGAGATACATTTTTGAGATGTTTGATGTCTTAAAATGTCGTTATTCAGTCCTCAAACTGAGTTGTAGAAGTCTAGTTGAAAAGAATTCAACTCCAAATTGTTACAGCTTCACGTGGCTTCTTGTTTCTGAGGTAATGTTGCTATTTGGTGCCCTCTTCCCGCCCCTCTGCAGAGGGTTTCAGGACATTGTCCTTATCCTCAATTTCCCGAACGTTTATGGTGTTCTCGGGGTGTGTGTGTGTTACGGGTTTCTTCCCCTTTATGGGGCTAGCTTGGCAGTGCACCCTTTTTATGTGGGTGTCTGTATCCCTTAGGTCTTGGAAAGGTCTTGTGTGATTTCCTGGGTAGTTTTTTCTCCATTTGTGAGTTTCTTCTTTTGGGGGGACTTTGTTCTATGCTGAGATATGTGAACACTGCAGGGTCTGTTCTGACGCGATGCTGTGCGTTGAGGAACATGATTAGCTTAACCCTCTGCGCTTGAGGAAGGAGAGAGAGATGGGTGGTGGGAGGGATCAAACAGGCAGAGAGGGCCTTTCGTATTGGGAGACAGTTTGTTTTTTTGTTTTTGTTTTTTGGTATGTGCCCCTAGCGGGAACCGAACCTGGGACTCTGCAGTCCGCGTGCCGACGCTCTAACCGCTGAGCCACACCGGCCAGGGGTGGAAGGCGGTTTTTGTTTTTTTTTGTTTTTATTTTTTTATCCTCACCTGAGGACATTTTTCCATTTTTTTGTACAGATGTGGGAGGAAGAGAGAGAGAGAGAGAAACATCAACGCGAAAGGGACACATGGAGTGGCTGCCACCCGCACAACCAACCAGGGTCGGGGACAAACTGCAACTGAAGTACGTGCCCTTAGCGGGAACCGAACCCGGGTCTCTCCAGACCGCAGGCCGACGCTCTAACCGCTGAGCCAAACCGGCCAGGGCGTGGAAGGCGGTTTTAAAAAACCGGATCCAGGTTGATAAGTGGAATGAAAAGTAAGATCCATTATGAGATGTTTTCACGAAAACATCAACAGGACACAGTGACTGATTAGAAACTGATGATCCGTGAGAATTAGCTTGACTAATAACCTTCCACTTCCTTAGCTCTTGAGGCGTGTAACTGCTCATGTTGCGTCGCCCCGACCCCCGTGACGTGGGCCCCTTCTCTTTTTCTTTTTAACTTGTTTTTGGTACGTGGCCCCAGCGGGAACTGAGCTCGCGACTCTGGTCCGCAGGCCGACGCTCCAAATGCTGAGCCAGACCGGCCAGGGCTGGGCCCTTTTCTTAAGCTCCAGTGAAAACAAGTGGCTACTGATGGGGCTTTCTGTGCCCTCCCCCAGCAGCACAAGCGGACGGGGCGCGGGGTGGTGGTTTTCCGTCCTCCGTACTGCTGGTGATAACACCCCGTCCAGCTGCGTCTCTGCATTGGAGAACGCGAGTGCCCGGCGGCACCTCGTGGGACCTGCTCGTGTCTCCGGACCGCGGCTTAGCTGTTCGTCCCCCTGCTGTAGGCGAGCAGAGGAGAAGGGTTACACCTGTGTTGCTTCTTCTCATTCGGCTCCTCATGGTTTAGAACACAGATTGACAAGATAACTAGTCCCTTTCGATCACTGACCTGGAATGACGTGTTTCCCCAGAAGGACTCTGTGCACGGCTTTTCCTCTCTCTCTCTCTCTCTCTCTCTGCAACGCCCTGGAGGCTGCCCCGCGTTTGATCTCTTCATTGTTCTGCTCCACGAACAGTATTTTCCCAGGTGATCTGTTGAAAGGTTAATGTCTGCCCCTTTCTTTTGATAGGGGTTCCTGTTTTTCACTTAAAAAATATTTTTTATTTCACTGAAAATGAAGTGGTGGAAAATTGTAATTAAAAAAAAGTTGTAAGCGAGGCAGCACTCTGTAGCACAGCCGTCTCTGGACACCCTGGCCTGTGCCCTCCCCGCCTGGCACAGCTGTGCCCGGGCCTGGCCTCTCCGTGGCCTGAACCTAGCTCCGGAGCGCCTCCCAGGCCGAAGCCTGGCCCGGGCCGTGTGGTCAGCTGGCACAGCACTTACTGTCCATAGCGCAGCAGGGCTGCCGGCGCCACCCCGGCAGAAGGACCCACCGGACGTCTGCTCTGTCTTAGGTGGAGCGGCCGCCGTCCCCCTTCTCCACGGCCCCGCAGGCCTCCCTCCCCCCAGTGCCGCCCCGGCTGGACCTTCTGCAGCAGCGAGTGTCCGTTCCTGCCGGTCCTTCGGCTCCTGGGACCGCTGCCAAGGTAAAGCATCGGCGCCTTCGACGCGGCCCGGCCTCCGTGGCGGAGAGTGGGTTCTGACCGATTTGCTTCCCCCCGCCCCACAGGCTGCTCCGGGCCCCCTCCACAAGGACAAGCCTCTGCCGGCGCCCCCCACGCTTCGAGACCTCCCTCCGCCACCGCCTCCAGACCGGCCTTACTCTGTCGGGGCGGAAGCCCGGCCGCAGAGACGCCCCTTGCCTTGCACACCAGGCGACTGTTCGTCCAGGGACAAGCTGCCCCCTGTCCCCTCCAGCCGCCTTGGGGAGTCGTGGCTGCCGCGGCCCATCCCCAGAGCGCCAGTAGCCACCCCAAGCCCGAGTGACCCCTGGACAGGGAGAGAGCTGACCAACCGCCACTCGCTTCCGTTCTCGTTGCCCTCGCAAGTGGAAGCCCGCGCGGATGTGCCCCGGCTGGGCAGCACCTTCAGCCTGGACACGGCCACGGTGAGTCCTGCTCCCACGTTGCTCAGCCTGTTCAGAGACCGTGTGGCCCTGGCCGGCGTGACTCATGGTGAGAGCTCCACCCGCGCACCAGAGGGTCAGGGGTTCGATTTGCTATTAGAGGCCTGCCCCTGGGCTGCAGGTTTGGTCCCAGCCCCAGTTGGGGCGCGTGTGGGAGGCGACCGATCGATGCCTCTCTCACATCGATGTTTCTTTCTCTCTTTCCCTCCTTTTCCTCCCTTCCTCTTTCCCTGCCTCCCTTCCTCCCACGCTCTCTCAAAACCAATGGAAAAAGTCTCCTCGAGTGAGGATTAACAAAAGATAAATATCTGTGGGTGGCCCTGAGCGGGTCACCGTTTGGGGGTAGGTTCCATGCAGGGTTCAGAGGGACTGCGGCACAGTCCCTGCCCTGGAGAGAGGCGTGTTCACAGGGCAGGTGAGGAGTTGTCCGTGCAGTGAGTGTGTGCAGGAGGCACACACAGGTCTTAGAGGAGGGACACATCGTTTCCGAGAGCACCCAGGGCTTCGGGAAGAGTGAGGTCTGGATGCGGAGCATTCTGTCCAGGGCGCGCGGCTCCGGGCAGGTCAGGGCTGCCATGGAGGGTGCTTCGGGGCCGTGGGCACGGGGAGAATGGTTGTGTGTCCACATGGCACAGGGGCTGGAGAGGGCGTTGTAGGCTCCGATGAGAGGCCTTGAACAGGAAACGAGCATTTGGAAGTGTTGAATCGGCGGAGAGACGGAACGGAAGCAAGGACTGAGGCCAGCCCGGCTGCGGCGGCTCGGTGGCTGAGCATCATCTCATGCCCCTGAAGGCGGCCGGGCTGATTCCCGGTCGGGGCACATGCCCACGTTGCGGGTTTGACCCCTGGTCGAGGCGTGTATGGGAGGCAACCGGTCAGTGTTTCTCTCCCCCTCTCCCACTTCCTCTCTCTCCCTTTCTCAAATCCCTCTCTTCCTTCCCCTCTCTAAAAGGAATAAAAATGTTTAAAAAGCATACAGATAAGCACTGGTCGGTTTGGCTCAGCGGTTAGAGCGTCGGCCTGCGGTCCGGAGAGACCAGGGTTTGGTTCCCGCTAAGGGCATGTACCTCGGTTGCAGTTTGTCCCCGGCCCTGGTCGGTTGTGCGGGTGGCAGCCACTCGATGTGTCCCTTCACGTCGATGTTTCTCTCTCTCTCTCCTTCCTCTCTCTCCCTCCCACTCTACCTGAACAAAAAAATGGGAAAATGTCCTCGGGTGAGGATAAAATAAATAAATAAATAAAAAGCATACAGATAAGATTCTAATAGTTGTATGTAAAATGGATTGATAAGAGAATATATTGAAAAAAGACAGGTTGAGGGTCCATTATATTAGCATGAGACAAGAGGTTCAGAACTGGGGGCAGAAGAGGAATATTCGCTCTGTTTGGTGCACTCATGCACTCCACAGATTCTTGCCTCACAAGGTTTGTACTCTGGTGGGGGAGAGACGGAAAATAAACAGTCGAAGTGAACTCAGGACGCTGCCCACGGATGAGTGCTGTGCGGAAAGGTAGCACAGGAGGGGCTTGGGGCAGCGGGGCAAAGCCCTGGGGCCGTGGGGAGAGCGAGCCTTGGCAGTTCTGGGGGGAGGACTGTTCCAGGTAAAGAGAAGAGCAGGGAGTTGGGGGGTCTGAGGACCATCTAGGGGTGCATAATACAGCTGGTGCTCAGTGAGCAGGAACAGGAGCTGTCTGCGAGCGGGTGGGCGGCCAGGTCGGGAGCCCTGCCGGGCGAGAAGCGGGCCCAGTGAAGTTGGAGAGCAGTCAGCGGGGGAAGGACAGGAAATCCACTCACCCCCACACCCTGAGGCCCTGAACCTGCCCAACTAGGGACATGTTGAATTTGAGACGAGCCACTGAAGCAAGAATTGACCAGTAGGTGGGTAGAAATCTAAGGAAAAGATGGACCGGAAGGGTGGAGGCAAGGGATGCTGTGGCTGGCGCATAACGGAGTCTGTCGTGGCTGCAAGGGACGGTGGCGGGTCGCGTGGGCTCAGGTGGCGGTCCCCTCAGTGAGGGGAGAGAGGTCTGACCTGGCGGCAGCAATGTCCAAAGTTAGATTTTTAAAGCTAGAAATGATATTGGTGTAGACAGCCAGTTTTCTCAAATCTCTCTAGAATTAAGACGAAAACACGTATTTCTGTTGCTGTTTCTGGCTCTGCCTCCCTCACCCCCGCCCCAGAGCTGGCAGAAACGTGCGTTGTCCGATGGGACAGCCCTGGGCACGGCCCGTCGGGAGGGCTGCGTCCGCGCTCTGGTTATTCCCAGTAAGTTAGATGAGCAAGAGGAGATGCCGGCTGTACTGAGAAGGTCCTTTGTCAACGCTTTTCTTTCCAGACTATGAACAGCAGCCCGTTAGCAGGTCCAGAGTACGAGCACCCCAAAATCAAACCCTCCGCTTCCGCCAGTGCCATTTACTCTCTGGCTGCCAGGTGAGTCTGCCGAGGTTGTGTTTCATACGTGATTTCGCTCCTTCTAACCGGTTTGCTCCCAGAAAATCAAAGCCCGAGGAACGCAGAGAAGGAAACAAAAACGGATCTGTGTTCGCAGTGTGTAAAGTACCCCCATTTTGTATGTGGACAGTTTCTCTCCGTTCCCTTCTGTGTCCACGTTCGCAGATCAGTCTTGCTGGGGTTTGTCCAGTTTATTCATTATTTCAAAGAAGCTGTTTTGGTTTTCCAGATTTTTTAAAAATTTTCTTCTGATTTTTTTTTTTTTTAAATTATTTTATTCTCACCCGAGGACGTTTTTCCATTTTTTGTTCAGACAGAGCAGGAGGGAGAGGAAGAGAGAGAAAGAGAGAGAAACATCGATGTGAAAGGGACACATCAAGTGTCTGCCACCCGCACGATCATCCAGGGCCGGGGACAAACTGCAAGCAAGGTACATGCCCTTAGCGGGAACCAAACCCGCGTCTCTCCGGACCACAGGCCGACGCTCTAACTGCCGAGCCAAACTGGCCAGGGCATTTTCTTCTGATTTTTAATTCTTAATTCTTGGGTATCTACGTTTTCTGTGGTAAAATACACACCTAAACTGTACCATCTCACCCATTTGTAAGTGTGCAGTTTGGTGCCGTTAATGGAAGCGTCCCCACCGCCGTCCTTCGTAACTTCGTTCTGGGAAACTCCTACTCCCCTCCCCCCACCCTGACAAGTACGCACACTTTCTGTCTGTGATTTTGATTACTCTAAATACCTGTAAGTAGAATCATGCAGTATTTGCCTTTTTGTGACCGGCTTACTGCACTCTGCAAAATGTCCTCAAGAGTCACCGTGTGGTGGCATATTGAAGGACTCTCCCTTCTAACGGCTCAGTAATACTCCCTTGTGTGTGCCTCCCTCGGCCGATCCATCCGTCAGGCCGTGGGCACTCGGTTCTGCTCCTTCAGCCGTGTGCGTGATGCTCTATGGACAAGGGAGAGCAGAGATCTCCGTAAGACCCTATCTGTTCTTTCGGGTGTATTTCCAGAAGGCCAATTGCTGGATCATATGGTAATTCTTTTTTTTTAAATCCTCACCTGAGGATATTTTTTTTCCCATTTATCTTCAGACAGAATGGGAGGGAGGGAGAGAGAGAGAAACATTGATATGAGAGAGACACATCGACAGGTTGCCTCCTGTACAACCCCGACCAGGGCTGGGGTGCAACCGCAACTGAGGTACGTGCCCTTGACCAGAATTGAACCTGCTGACCACTGAGCCAGACCGGCCAGGGCAGGTAATTCTGTTTTTGCTTCTTTGAGCCACCGTCGTGCTGTTTTTACAGCAGCTGGACTATTTTACTCCCCACCATTGGTGCACAAAGGTTCCAACTTCTCCAAATTTTTACCAGCTCTTGTGATTTTCTGGTTTTGTTTTTCTTTTTTTTTTTTTTTCTCATAGTAGCCATTCTAATGGATGTGAGGTACTATCTCGTGGTAGTTTTTTATTTATTTATTTAATTGTTGAAAGTATTACAGATGCTCCCCCTTTTCCCCCCATTCACCCCTCCTCCCTGGTCCCACCCCCCTCCTGGCTTCCCCAGCCTAATGTCCGAGCCCATGGGTCGTGCATATATGCGTAGAAGTTCCTTGGTTTATCTCCTCTGCCCCCCCCCCCCTTATTCCTCTGAGGCAGTTTTGTTTTGTATTTCCCTGATGATTCGTGGAGCATCTTTTCATGTGCTTATCGGTCATTCATACATCTTATTTTTTTATCCTCACCCGAGGACATTTTGGTTCAGATGGAGGGGGGGGAGGGAGACAGAGAGAAACATCGATGTGAAAGGGACACATCGAGTGGTCGCCACCCGCACAACCCAACCAGGGCCAGGGACAAACTGCAGGTACGTGCCCTTAGCGAGAACCGAACCTGGGTCTCTCTGGACTGCAGGCCGACACTCTAACCGCTGAGCCAAACTGGCCAGGGCTCATATATCTTCTTTAAAGAAATGTCTGTTTAAGGCCTTTGCCCATTTTTCAATTAGGTTGTTCATGTTGGATTTTAGAAGTTCTCTTCACATTCTGGATATTAATCCCTTACCATATGTATGATTTGCAAATATTTTCTCCCATTCTCTGGGTTGTAATTTTAGTCTTGATGTACAAAATTTTAAAATTTTCACAAAGTCCAATTTGTCTACCTTTTTTTTTTTTTTTTTATCCTCACCCAGGAATATTTTTACATTGATTTCTAGAGAGAGTGGAAGGGAGGGAGTGGGTGGGAGAAACAGAGAGACATGGATGTGAGAGGCATGTTGATTGGTTGCCTTCCAAATGCGTCCTGACCAGGGCAGGGGATCGGACCTGCAACCCCAGTATGAGCCCCTGACTGGGAAGGACCCCGGGGCCCTCGGCACAGGCCGGCGCTCCGCTGCTGACCACCCCGGCCAGGGCCAGCGTGTCTGTTCCCCTTGTGACCTGGGCCTTCGGCGTCGTTTCCCGGAGGTCACCGCCGAGCCCACTGTCTGGAGCTTTGCCCTGTTTCCTTCTGAGAGTCTCATTTTAGAGTTTAGTTTCAGTCTTGCATTTAGGCCCTGGACCCCTTCTGAGTTCCCTTTCGTATGTGGTGTGAGGTGAGGGTCCACCTTCATTCTCTTGCATGTGGCCGTCCAGTTGTCCCAGCACCGTGTGTTTTGAAAGACTGTCTTTTTCCCATTGAAGAGTCTTTAGCACCAATCATTGGGCCATATATGGGAGGGCTTATGTCTAGACTCTGTTTTGTTTCTTGGTCTATATGTCTGTTTTTATGCCAATACCACAGTTTTAAAAAGAAATTTTTTTTTCCCCCATTGCAGTTAAGTTGTTGGTTTGAGAATCATTCCTGTTTTTTGTTGTTAATCCTCATCTGAGGATATTTTTTCCATTGATTTTTAGAGAGAGAATGGGGGAGGGGAGGAAGGGAGAAAGAGAAACATTGATGTGAGAGAGACACATTGATTGGTTGCCTCCCACATGACCCTGACAGGGCTGGGAATTAAACCTGCAACGCAGGCACATGCCTTTAACTGGGAATTGAACCCTCAGCTCTTTGGTCTGTGGGCCGGTGCTCTTAACTGCTGAGCCACACTGGCCAGGGCTTGAATGCCCTCTTAATGACCTTTTTCTTTTCATGAATGTAATGTGTTAATTAAAGAATATATATCACCCTGGCCAGTTTGGCTCAGTGGTTGGAGTGTTGGCCTGAGGACCAATGAATCGCAGGTTCGATTCCATCCAAGGGCACGTACCTCTGTTGCGATTTGTCCCTGGCCCTGGTTGGGTTGTGTGGGAGGCAGTCACTCGATGTGTTCCTTTCACATCAATGTTTCTCCCCCCCCGCCCAACTCTATCTGAACAAAAGTGGAAAATGTCCTAAAAAAAAAAGAATATATAGAAAATACAGATGAGCGATGCTGAGTTATCCGTAACCTGACCATTAGTCAGCGTTGGTGTGTGTTCGCTGCCCCTCCGGTGTGTACGGAATCATATTGAACGTGCTGTTTTTCTTTTTTTTTTTTTAATCCTCACCCGAGGATATTTTTCCATTTTTTGTACAGATAGAGTGGGAGGGAGAGAGAGAGAGAGAAACATCGACGTGAAGGGACACATCGAGTGGCTGCCACCCGCACGACCAACCAGGGCCGGGGACAAACTGCAACCGAAGTACGTGCCCTTAGCGGGAACCGAACCCGGGTCTCTCCGGACCGCAGGCCAACGCTCTAACCGCTGAGCCAAACCAGCCAGGGCTGAACGTGCTGTTTTTCACTAGGAGGGTCTTAAACACCATAGATGTCGTTACATGTTCTTCTGCTACAATGATTTTCAGATTATTTCCGTTGATTGCACAGCAGAGGAGCTGACTCAGGTGTGACCTGTGTAAAACAGGTGTGGCCTGCTGGGTGGAAGCCTGCGTCGGCCTCCGAGGCTCCTGCTTGAACCTCCAAGGCGCTGAGGGGCAGTCAGACAAGGGCATGTACCTGGGCTGCAGGTTCGATCCCCGGCCCTGCTCGGGGTTGTGTGGGAGGCAACCAGTGGGTGTGTCTCTCTCCTCCTCCCCTCTCCCGACTACACGCTCTCAAAATCAATGGAAAAAATATCCTCGGGTGAGGGTTAACCAAAAAAGTGAAAATTGAAGTTAGTGTGTTTTTATTAAAAAATTTTTTCCCTTTTTATTGAATTTACTGGGGTGACACTAGTTTAAAAATTTATACAGGTTTCAGGTGCACGGTTTCCAGCATGTCACCTGTACCCTGTACTTTGTGAGTTCACCCCACGTCAAGTCCATCCATCACCATTTACCCCCACCCCCAACCCCAAGTGAGTGTGTGTGTTTTTGCTTCATCCTCACCGGAGGATATTTTTCCGTTGATTTTTAGAGAGTGGAAGGAGGGGAGGGAGAGAGACATGGATGTGAGAGAGACGCAGTGTTTGGTTGCCTCCCGCACGCGCCCTTGACTGGGAATTGAACCCATGGCCGTTCAGTGTGCAGGCCGACGCTCTAACCACTGAGCGAACTGGCCAGAGCCAAGGTAGTGTGTTTCTCATAACTGCCTCTCTCAGCCGGGAGACATAATAGTTCCCTGGGTGGCATCTGTTTTGCTACGTCAAATGGGAGTTGCGGTTTGTTCTAAAGACATTTATTTCATAGTTGAAGGTTTTCCAGCTTGATTCTTTCTGTTTTCTTTTTCTGTTGTTTACTCTGCCTCTTGCAGGCCTCTTCCTGTGCCAAAGCTGCCACCTGGGGAGCAGGGTGAGAGCGAGGAGGACTCGGAGTACATGGCTCCCTCCTCCAGGCCTCTGGGGCTTCCGAAGCCGGAGGCGAAGCGGCCTCCAGAGCCCGCACCGGGCTTACGGTGAGTGGACAGCAGACGCCGCTCTCACGCGACGCCACCTCGCCACCTCGCCACCACCAAAGCAGGGAGGTGTGTCTACTTCCTAACAGTGACCTGTTAACAGCTGTAAGAAATCCCACTTAGTTTCCCCAACATCCTGTAATCTCAAAACTACACACATCTGTGGCTCATGCGTCACAAGAGGGAATTCCACAGCCTCCTCAGTCCTGACACCAGGGGAGTGTTCGTCCGGGGAGCCAGGCCTGGAGTCCAGAGAACAGACCAGTCTCGGGAGGTTTGCGGATAACGGAGTTCTGAGGTGACTGTGCGGCTTTCTTTCCGGTCCAGGGACTGTGACTGTGACCAGCAGGCTGACGGCTGCACCTACGAAGCGATGTATAATATTCAGTCCCAGGTGGCGCCGGCTGTCCCCGAGAGCAGCACCTTAGGTGAGTAGCTGTTCTACTTTAGCCATCGACCTGCCGTAGGTGAGCCTGTAAGGTTTGCTTGTGAGATGGTCTGATCCAAGCAGAAAACTCTAGGTAATCTCATTTGCAAAATGCCTTATCCGCGGGCGGCGACCGCCTCTCTTCCCCCTCCTGCCGGCTGGTCTCTCCTGGGCTTCCCGCCCTCCGGCCTGGGCGCCTGCGATCCGCAGCGCCCTTCGCGCCCCCCTTGCGCCCCCTTGCGCTTGGAGCTGTGGGGGCACTCGTCCCTGCCTCACGGCTCACCACGCGGGAAGTCGGGAGGGCGCCCCGGCCTGTGGCTGGTCCCCCGCGAAGGGGAGCAGACGCTGGGTGACGCTGTCCCGGGCGCTGGGCCCCGGACCCCGGACCTGGCAGAGGTCGCCCGCTGCAGGTGGTGCAGACTCGCTGGCTCGGCTTCTCTCCGCCCTCACGGCGCCGCGTGTTTGGGCAGAGGGGACACCTGGGGACTGTGAGCGCGCAGGGGGCGCAGGGCGGCCGGAGATGACCGCAGCTCTGCTCCAGGTGACGGCAGTGCGGCCGCAGCCCCGGCTGGCGCGGGCCCCGAGGAGTCGGAGAACGGCGAGGACGGCTACGATGTCCCGAAGCCCCCGGTGCCGGCGGCGCTGGCCCGCCGCACCCTCTCGGACATCTCCAACGCCAGCTCCTCCTTCGGCTGGCTGTCCCTGGACGCGGAGCCCGCAGCGAGTGAGTCCCCGGGCTGCGTGCGCCTGGCCGTGCGGGGCGGGCCGGGCCGGGGGAGCCGCAGGACCGAAAGTGCGTCCAAGTGGGGGGAGAGCCGGGCCCCAAGTCAGGACTGAGACTGGAGTCGGGCTGGGATTTCGCCAGACGAGGTTCTTTCTGAAACGCGGCCCCGCGCCGGGGAGGAGGGTCCCTGGCTCCTCTGGACGTGTTAGGACAGCGGTGATGAACTCGGCCGCCAGACCACGAGCCGCAGCCCCGGGCCCCATCGGGCCCCATCGGGGTGCCGACTCGGCGGGGAAGCTCGCTGGGCGGCGCGGAGCCTGCCGGGGCGCGGGGGACGGGCGCATCCAGCTACGAGACAGGTGTGCCCCCTCCCCGACCTGGCGTAATCCTTCGCTGCGAACTGTGCTCATTTCCGTCCCACTCTTTGGAAAAGGAGCATTTTAGCGTCTTCTCTGGCCCCTCAGAAAATCACAGGAAAAAACGCAGGCGGTGACTTGTGCGCAGACGTGTTGCCAAGAGTGGAGCAGGCGGCGCCGGCTCTGTGCTCAGGGCCGGTGGGCGGGGCCGGCAGCGGTGGGCGTGTCCGTGGGGGCGGCTCCGGCTGTGGGGGGCTCTGCCCTGCCCCCCTGGGCCTGCAGACCCGCCTTGGGACGAGAGCACGTGTGCCCGGTGGGCGGTGGGCAGGGCCCTCGGACCACAGCGCACTGTTGGCATCACTGCCCAGCTCTTCAGATAGTTCTTTCTTCTTTCAGGCTTCACTGAGGGTTCCCAAGTTCCTGAGAGGCCCCCCAAGCCGTTCCCTCGGAGAATCAACTCGGAACGGAAGGCGGGTCACTGTCCGCAGGCCGCCGCGCCCTCGCCCCAGCTGTCCAGTGAGATCGAGAGCCTCCTGAGCCAGGGGTACTCCTACCAGGACATCCAGAAGGCCCTGCTCATCGCCCACAACAACATAGAGATGGCCAAGAACATCCTCCGCGAGTTCGTGGCTGTGTCCTCTCCTGCCCACGTGGCCACCTAGCGCCGGCCTGCCGCGCCTGCGGAGGACCGACGAGCTGGGCTGCCCTGTCCCCACGGCCGGGGCTCCTTTGGAGGCTTCGGTGCAGCTGAGCCCGGCTGCGAGGCTGCCTGCGGCTCTGACACGGCAGCAGTGGGACCAGCGCGGAGCAGCCGGTGTGCGTTGTCATTGTGTTTGTTCTGGGGTGCGTTTGAGGGTGTCCTTCAGTCCCTGCTCAGTGTGGGCTTTGGAACAGTGGTGGCCAACCGGGGAAACCGCCCAGAAAGCAGCAGGAGGAGGGGTGCTGTGCTCTCATCCAAAGGGGAGACTTCAGACCCTCCTGGGTTGAGAATGTGCTTGTGTACGTGTGTCTGTCTGTGGTGTGCGTGTCCTGTGATTATCAGATTAACCTGCTGTCTGTGTGCGTCCCAGGCGGGGACGATGAGCACAAGAGGCTTAGGGAGGAGTCTTTCCAACTTCCATGCCCTGTGGTGTCTGCCCAACCCCTGTGTTTCCCTCTTCACACTCCGTGGCCCGGACTGTTCGCAGAGCTGAACCTGTGTATCAGCACACCCTCCAGCCTCTCCCGGCCTCTGCCGCGGCCTCGGTCTCGCGGTGGCTGCGCCCAGCCTTCCCGGAGCCGGGACGCCCGTTGCCGGGAGAGGTGCGGGCTGGGTCGAAGGGCTGCCCTGTGGCTGGGCTGTCACGGTCGCTCCGAAGCACTGTTTTACAAGAACCTGGAACCTGTTAACAAAACGATGTTTTAATAATCATAACTGCATAACGACTGGCTGGAGATCGAAGCCTTCAGATACATTCCACACCCTCCCCAGACCTGGTCCGCGGGAGCCCGTGGCCTGGGCGCCATGCCTGTGTCTGCCGTGGGTCCTTCTCGACGGGGAGGGGAGAGCAGTTGTTTCCAGCGTGGCTTTCTGGCCCGAACGCCCTGAAGCTTCCAGAAACCCTCCTCACACGCGCTTCACCTTGTGATGCTTGAAATGCACAACATAGACAATAAGGGTTGATTTGTTCCGTTTTCTCCAGTGAATTAATCCCAGCTTACACGGGCGTCTCCCGCTGAACATAAGCCAGGTTCTATTTTCAGAAGTGATTCTTTGCTTTGCCCTCTACGAGTGGGGTGCCCCCGGCAACTCAGTTCTCGCCTGTGCCCAGGCTTTGGGAATGTAGCCTGTCCTCTCCTTTCCGGCACCCGAGGCCCCGCCCACCCTCTGGTGCCTGCCTCCCCTCCCCGCAGGAAGGCATCGGTCAGCAGTGAGCGGCTCCCCAGCCCGGTGGGGCGCGCGCCCCCGGTGTTCGCAGGGCCCTGGCGTCGGCCCGTCCTCTGCCCAGGGTCTTTGGCTGACTCCCCTACGTGCTGGAGCCTCCTTCCTCATCGGAAGCAAGCCTGCTCTTGATTACTCTCCCCTCCTCGGAATCCAAATTCGCTTTTGTCTTTAGATCCAGACAGAAATGGCTCTCCTTAGAGCTCTCGCCTGTCTGTCATCCTCGTAACTAAAACTCCTCCCGACTCTCCTCGTGGCTTTTGGCTCTTCGTAGCCCTTCTGGTTGTCCTCTTACCTCGGGGCCGTGCTGGCAGTGGGCGGCACGGGGCCTGTTGACTGGCTGGGTTCCCTGCCCGCACGGTGGGAAGAGCAGGCCCACCCCAGTGTGGAGGCCCCCCGTTGGGGCGCAGGGCACAGTTCGTATCCTAAAGGCCAGAACACTTTCCTGTGTGGTGACGAAGGCTTGGGCAGGGAACTAAGGAAATGGCAGCGGGTTCCATGTCTCTCCACACTGAAGCCTCTGCCGTCCACACGACCCGCAGCCCGGAGATCCGCCTGGAGACCAAAGCCCTGGATCCCTGTGCTTCCCCTTCCCGAGTGCACCCATCTTTAGGGACTGTTCTTGCTTCTGCAGGCGAAGGGCAGGTTGATCTTTTCTTCCCCCACGAGCGCCCGTGCGGCTGGGCCCCAGCGGGCTGCCGGGTCCTGGTGCTGACGTGCGCCGGCGGGAGTGATCGTTAGCTGTCCGGTGTTCGCGGGCATTCGGGTTTTAGACCGAGCTGTGAAGTTTACTCTGACTGGTGCTCTTGGGTCCACGCCTGAGATCGCCGAGAACCTCAGGACATTTTCCACTGGCTCTCGTTTTGAGGATGTTCCGAAAGTGGTAACTTCTTAGACTTTTCTTTGAGGCCCTGATGAACTCCACTGTGCGGCAGTTTCTGAGTCTTGGGCCCTGCTCCGAGTTTCACTGAAATTCTCTTTCACAAGAGGCTTTAGTTTGAGTTTTGCAAACTCATCCCTTTTCCCTGTCACAGATGATTCCGCTTCTGACTGTCGGTGGATAAGGTGAAAACCACTCGGATGGGTTTCTTTTCCTTAGATGCATTAGGCTGTTCTGTTTTCCCCAATCTCCTGCTTTCCTGGTTGCTTTTTAAAAAATACATCCTCACCCAAGGATACATTTTTACTGAGTTTAGAGGGAGAGAAACATCAGTGTGAGAAACGATTGGTTGCCTCCCATAGGCGCCCCGACCAGGGATTGAACGCACAGCCTCGGTCTGTGCTCCGACCAGGAATGGAACCTGCGGACTCGGTGCCTGGGCAGGTCACTGGACACCATCCCCCGGCACAGGAGCTGGGCGGCGTCACCGTGGCCCCGCCCCGTCTCTAAAGCACAGGCTTCTCCGGGCGGGGAGGGGGGACCCCCCTCGGTGACTAGGAGGCTGCGCGCCAGCCCCGCACCAGCCCCGCACTTCTCTCTGGCTCTGGACACTGGTGGGTGGCGCCTCGCTCCCCGGCCCCCCCCCCCCCCCCCTGGAAACCACCTTTCTTGTGTCCCTCTCCTCCTGCAGACTCAGCACCCGGCCAGGCTGTAGCGCTTTGCTGTTTTGTAGATTAAAAAAAAAAAAATTGCGGGGAGGGGGTTGCTATTCTTCATACTTAAAGTATTTATTTCTTCTATAGGAAAATAAAATATATATTTAAAAAATTTTTTTCTTTATTGATTTTTAGAGACAAAGGAAGAGAGAGGGAGAGAGAGATGGAAACATCGATAAGAGAGAACATCGATTGGCTGCCTCCTGCGTGCCCCACACTGGGGATCAGGCTACAACCTGGACATGTGCCCTGCTGGGGAATCAAACCAGTGACCTCTTGGTGCAGGGTCGACGCTCAAACACTGAGCTGGGCAAAAAGTAAAATATATATATTTATGGTCCAAATAGCAAACTTACAAATGAATTTTTGCCAATTTGCTTGCAAAGCAGGGACCCACCTGTATGTCCCTTTTAAGTCATTATTAACAAGATCTAGATTTTTTGTTTTCTTTTCTGTTGAGGTGTGAGTAACATAACATCATGCTGGTTGTAGGTGTCGCTTGGGTGCACTGCAGAATGACCTAGCAGTGCGTCCCTCAGCTTAGTCCGCACCCATCACCATGCAGAGTCACAGAAACGGTTTCCTTGTGATGAGGACTTGTCGGATCTGTCTTGTCTGAGTTCCCATGTGCCCTGAGGGTTGGGCCTTTCTATGGGTCAGAGCGGTGGTGTCCACCACGGTCCCCCCCGAAGCCCGGGGCCGCAGACCGTCAGCTCTGTGGAAGTTCCCTCTCACCGTGTTCTCGCGGACTCACCCGTGGGACAGCCGTGCTCTGGCCAGGGCCCTGGCTGTCCAGCGGTTTGCATTCAGACGCTGGTGGGCAACCACCGAATGCCCAGCGTCGGCTCTGCCACCAGGCGGTGAGGTCGGCGGATTGAGCTGGGCTGACTAGCACGTGCATTTGGCCCTGAAACAGCCCTTCCTGGGAAGATCGGGTCGCCCTGTGGCGTTTCCTTCTGGAGCTGTCCTGGTTAAAACCAGTTCAAGACTCTCCTGGCACTGTTTTAATGCATTTCAAGTGGAATCGATGGGTGATGGGGGGTGGGGGGGTCTGCTGGCTCAGGGCTGCACAACAGGGCATTTGGGTGTTCGGGCAAAGCGTCTGCCCACCGCTCGCTTTCCAGTCCGGTGCCTGCCGTCATCTTCCCGGCCCGGTTCCCTCATCGCCCCGGCTGGGAACCCTCCTTACCAGCTCTGGGACCTGTCACCACCTCCCCTTCTGTCTGGAACACGTTTTCCTCCGCAACCTTGGCAGCAAACCTGCGTCTTAGAAGGACTGAAGGGATGGGAGAGGGGTGGTCCTTGTCTTTGGGTCCTGGTCTCCCCAGGGTCAGGCAGTCAAGTAGACTGAGCTCAGTCAGTTCTCAGAAGTGTCCGCCTTTGTCTGGAGGCGAGGGGCTTAGAGAGCAGAGACCGCAGAGTGAGTATCAGAGCCATGCGTTCTCTTGGGCCTAGAGTATTCCACAGCACGAGCTCGCCGGCACGGCTTGGGTCTCAGTCCACGTTAGGGTCTCTCTTGGAACCGCGATGGCCATTTCCTGTGGGGGGCAGCACTGCGGAAGCCCAAGGCTGTCCCTGTCCTATTCGGGGACCCTCGTGCGCAAGAAGCAGAAGTATTCACGCTAAAGAAAGGAAGACCACAGGACGCGGGTGCTTCTCGGGGCCCAGGGCAGGAAGGACAGTCGACCCTCGCGCGGAGCTGGGACTGGAACACTGGCCTAGTCCTCCGCTCTGCCTGTCTGTCTGTCGGCATGCACTGGCCCGGGACAGACACCCAGCGCCCCAGTGCGCCCAGTCTCCCAACTCTGAGGTCACCGTGAATATTCCCAGTGCCTCTCGGTTCGTGTTCTCCAGAATGGGGCCCCCCAGCACATGGACCCGGTGTCTGCCCCCAACCAGTTGCCTGACCACACGAGCCACAGCGGTGCACACCTTCGGGGAGGTGGGGGAGTCCTTGGAGGGCTGGAGGTGGGACGGATGCTTGGACACGGGGTCAACTGCTGTGGTGCTGCGTCCGTGAGCAGCGGCTGGCGGGGGCGTCGGGGCCCGTGGGTGCGGAGGAGTCCAGGCTGCTGGCCTTGTTTGTTTGCTGCTGTTCTTCCCTGTGAGTCTCGCGCCCGGGGTCTGTCTCCCTCTTGGGGTGATGCTCTCCTGCTCCTGAGCTGGTCTGTCCTTGGGAGGCCTTTCTCCGTCCTCGCCCAGTCTCAGGCCTTCCGCCGCCTCCCGTCTTTGGTGTGGAGCGCAGTGGTCAGGGGTCGCGGTGGTCACCTGTGGACTTCGGGGCTCCTTCCGGTTCCGCACGGAAGACGTGCCTGTTCTGTGGCCTGTGCCCCCCGTACCCCTCGCCCTTTCAGGAGGCCCTTCCTGTGGGGGAGCCACGGCGATGCCCTTCGCAGCCTCCCCCGTGCCTCCCAGACTGGGGGGGGGGCGTCAGGACGTCGGTGGCCCAGACCCCGGTCGCCAGTGGGTGCCTTCGCCTCCTGCCGGTGGCTTTCCTGTGGTCCCGTGTGTTTTGTTTGTAAACGTTGTGCTTCTGCCCGCGCGTCCTGTGATCTGATCTATCTCGTCCCCAGAGCCTGCCCTGCGTTGTCGCGGCACTTCACGGCGAGCCCGTTACAACGCTGGCGCTCAGAGATGCAGGGGGCTCGTAGCCCACGGATGAACACCGAGGCCCGCGAGGGTGGGCCGTCAGACTGCCTTGGGGTTCTGGTCTGGGCCCCAGGGTTCAGGGGCAGAGGGTGGCAGAGCCAGGTGCCCTCCCAGGGCCCTCAGATCGGGCTTGGCCTCAGGGCAGCACCATGTTCTTGGCTCTAGAACATGCAGGAGTGAGAGGCGGGGACGGGGGAGCGGGCACCGCCTGGCGCTGGCTCATGGAGGGGAAGCCCGCCCCTTCCCGCGTGTGGCCCTCGAGACACATGGCCCGTCACCTTCCATGAGGCTGGCGCCAGCCCCACACCTGCCGACCCGACAGCTGGACGGACCGGCAGACGCTGGCTGCCGGCCCGAGTTCTGGATTCAGTCCCAAACATTCATGGGAGAGGCTCCCTCACGCTGCCGCTCCCGGTTCTCCCACCCGTGCACTTGACCGGACCAGGGCCGCTGGCTCAGCACGTGCTCCGTGCAGCTGCTCGGCCGGCAGCGCCTATGAGAGATGCCCGCCCGCCCGTCTGAAGCCTGTTGGGCCCGGCAGCCACGGAGCACCTCTTGCGTCTGCTCCAGCTGTGGTGGTTTGGGTTTTTAACCTCACGTATCTTTTTCCTTTCTTAAAAACAGAACAATTTTTAGCACACTGAAAGAAAACGAAACATTCTGTGCCTTTCTCGGGCAGCACTGTATCCCAGGGTGCACTTTAGAGCTTAATATGGAAATACCAGAGTCAGTCCCGCTCTGCCCCAGAGTCACCAGCCCCCGGAGTAGGGAGAGGGAGCCGCGCCCCTGTGGCTGCAGGCCCCCCCCACCCAGGCAGGCCGCAGGGCCCCACTTCCGGCGGCGACGCTTCCTTGGAGGAAATCAGCACTGTACCCTGGGATCGCTGGGTTGGTTCCATCAGTCTTAGTTCCCAGGTGGAATACTGTCTCTAGCCAGAAGAGAGACAATGTTGCACGATGTCCAGGTCTACTCAGGACCACTGCCAGTGTCCCAGCCTCCTGACCAGGTCATGACCCAGCTGCACCCCTGTGCCGGACAGACCCTCCTGAGGAGGGGGCGCTTTCTGCCTTTTCTTGCTGGTGGACCCTGAACTGGCCTAGACCTCCTGCCTCTCCCTTTAATTGGAAGACTTCAGACCTACAGCATTAAGCCTCTGGTGCCCTCCGTGCCGTCCAGTCTGCCCCGGGAAAGGCGGCGGGAACCACGGCCAGAAGCCCACTGGGTCTCGGGAAGGGGGGACAAGAGCAGCCTTCTCGCGCCCTCAGCCCCTCCCTGCCTTTAACTAATAAAGAATGTGGAGATAGCAACAATCCTTCTCAAGTCCTCATTTGTGATTTAACATTCTCGGTCTGGGTGGGGCCCAGGGAGCTTGACGCTCCCCAGAACCAAGGCCTGTGTGTGTCAGCGTTAAAACGCAGCAACTCCTCGCGAACTTAGGTGAGCTTGTCGTTGGCCATTTTAAAAATGTGTCGTTAATATAAAAAATTTATATCAGTAGTATTTAATCATTCTCACGTGTAAAGAACAAGAGAAACAGAAGGTAAATATTCTTACAGAGAATAGCAGAACTTTACGATTCGTTTCCATTTTAAGCCCATTTTTTGGCCGATGTGTTAATGTTTAGAGGTCTGTTATACTAATGTTATTTATTAATTTTTTTCCATTTATATACAGTTAACTAAAGAGCTTTTTCAAGCACCCATGTCTGTAAAAAGTATTTTTAAATAAAGTTTCTTTTGTTGTAGCCCACTTGGTTCTTGCTCCGGCACGGGGGTGGGGGGGGGGTGACGCATTTGCAGCTGTAGGCCCACTGGTCACAGCCGTCCCGCCTACCTCGGGGCAAGGCGGGGACAGCACGCGGAGGACAGGGCCAGAGCTCCTTGCCAGCCCCCGGCACCGGCGGCCTGGGACGGGCCCTGTGCTGGGCGCCTGGGCAGTGGGCTGCGGGCTGGGCAGGGCTGTGCTCCTTTGGTGCAGTTTGCCCCGGGCCCAAGCTGGTGGTTCCCGCGGGGAATGAAAGTCGTGTAAGGTTTCCGAGACAACGAAGCTTTATTTTTTGAGTGTGTGTGTGTGCGCGCGTGTGTAAAGGAAACAATTTGCAAATTTGCACACAACCTAACAAAACCACACGCACACACCGATACACACGTCACACCCAAACTCTGGCCCGTTTCTCGTCCCTCAAGTGCCTCCCTCCCGCAGGGCCCTCCTTTGGGGTCCAGGTGCACTAGCTCAGTTCGGAGAAGTTTGGTGCCAGTAGAACTAGAACCTCGGCCCCGGCACAGGGCACGTGGATCTCGTCTCTTCCCCCACCCTCGCCTTCGGCCTTGTGATGACGAGAGCCCAAGGAACTCAGGGGCTGCCCCAGGCGCCCCAGCTCCAGAGAACGGCCCAGCGTCCTGGCAGGGCCAGGGTAGAACCAGTGCACCTTTGAAGGAACAACACCAGTGTCCGGCTTCCGCCCAGAGAAAGGCGTGTCACAAAAGGGACCCCAGCAGGCAGGCGGGCGGGCACATCGGCAGGGGGTGGGGGGCCTGGGCTCCGGTACCCTCCCTTCGGTGATGCACCTGAATTGTGAAGCCAGCTTGGGGGCAGGAAGTCACAAGACCAACAGGCCGATTCCACGGCTGTTGGTGGAAGACGGGGACGGACATCATGCTCGTGTAAGAGAAAACGTGTTCTGAAGGAGCTCTCCTGCCCGCTCCGTGGAGGGGCATCACTCAACCCGAGTGGCGGGCGGGGCCGCCAGGGCCCCAGGTCCTTCTCGGGAGGACTCTGGTCCGAGCCAACCCACTGGCCTCTGAAATGGGGTCTGCAGGGGAGCTGGACCAGGGGTCTTCTCTGACATCCACCTGAGGCTTTGGTGACCATCCTGAGTACTGGGGTCGGGGGTGAGCAGGGAGGGTCCCGGCGGGAAGAGGAGCTCGGTGCGGCTCCGCGGCTAGTGCCTCAGATCGATGTACTTCTCTCCCTAAAAGTGGGGAAAGAGAAATCCGGGGATGTGGACTCGTGCCCGGCGCCCAGGGGTGAGCACTGCAGCGGAGAAGGCAGCGAAGCGACAGCTGATGGACCAGGCGCGGCCTGGAGGAAGCAGCCAGGGCGGGCAAGGCAGGGGAGCCCCGGCCCCTCCGTGGGGCTGGCCTGGCTCTCAGTCCCGGGCGCTGCCCTGTGCTGGTCCTCGGACCCTGGCCTGGCCCTACCAGCTGGGAAGTGTCCCTCCCGAGGAACGCAGGGCAGTGAGTGCGTGTGGGAGGAACAAGAGCCGCCAGCCTGTCACCCCCTCCCGGAAGCTGCGGGCGCTGCCTCCTACCTGGTCTCCGGGAGCCCTCTTGTCACCGTTGCTGCCCTGTAGGAGGCCCATCTCTTCTGGGAGCTTATCTGACTTAACTTCAACTACAAATTCGCTCTTACGGGATGGGGGCAGCGTTCTGGGAGGAGGAAGGGAGGGAAGCGGTTGGCGCTCGGGGGGCCAGGGAAGGACCTGGGACGGGGCCCTGGGCTGGGCTGCCGGGCCCTTGGGTGCCCTGGGGCCAGCGCAGGGAAGGGGACAAGCCGTGAATGAAGGGGAGCGGGCGTGACTGCCGGAGGCTCCGACGGGGCGTACCAAGCAGGGAGCAATCGGACCGGCGCCCCACTCGGCTCCTCAGAGGCGGGGCGCTGGGGGCGGGGCAGCAAGCTGGGGGACCGGCCGGGTGGGGACGGGTGTGGGACGAGCTTACATCTCCTGCTTGCCTGACCGCCCGCAGGGCAGCCTGCCCTTCTTGTAGAAGAAGTAGAGGACAGCGCCCAGCAGGGCCAGCAGCAGCAGGCACACGGTCACCGCCACGATGACCACACCCTTGCTCTGGGGCTCGGGCAGCTTCTTCTCTGTCCCACAAAGACGCCCCTGTCACCGCCTGCCCCAGGCCCCACCGTCTCCCCCACCGACCACGGGCTGGCAGGAGGCGGTGGTGCTCACCTCTCCGGACAAGGCCTCCCCCGGGGGGTCAGGGCAGAAGGAGGGTGCCCGGTGCGGGTCCGGCCTGTTCGTGGGCCGGGCCCGGCTTACCTGCGGAGGTGTTGTTGGTTCGGGTGTGAGGACCGACGGTGACGGCAGCGAGCCCGGTGGTTCTGTTGGCGTCTGCTGGGAGGGCAACGCAGCGGATGCAGCCGGGGTCGGGGATAGCGCCAGCGACACCCCAACCCGGCGGCGCCTGGAGGTGCAGACCCTTACCCGGCTCCAGGACGATGCTGGTGGTGTTTCTGCCCAGGGGGTTGGAAGCGACACACTGGGCGCCCGTCTGCAGCAGCTCAGCGGTCACGAGGACTGTCAGGACGCTCAGGACACCCTGTGCCCCTCGGGGCTGCTCACTGGCCTGCGAGGAGGAGCGGGGACAGTCGGACAGACGCGCGGGACAAGGACGGCGCGCCGGGGACAGGTCACCAGGACGCAAGGCCCCGGGCGCCTGGCAAAGGACAGTAGGGTGGGGCCTCGCCCCAGGGTGACCTTTCCTCCCCGAGCATGTGGCTGGTCTTGCCGTTCGGACCCCTGACGTTCCTCCCCGGAGGCCTCGGTTGTAGTTCAGCTCCAGGCCCAGAAAAGCAGTGAAACCAGCCCAGCGACCCCGCTGCTGACCTCAGGACCAGCTGCTGGCTAATGACCCCCGACCTGGCGCCGACCAATCAGTCCATGGGGACCCCGACCCTGAAAGGACACACCTGGGAAGCTGCTAAATATTCTATTGAGCCCTGGCCGGTTTGGCTTAGCGGTTAGAGCATTGGCCTGCGGTCCAGAGAGACCCGGGTTCGGTTCCCACTAAGGGCATGTGCCTCGGTTGCAGTTTGTCCCCGGCCCTGGTTGGTCCTGCGGGTGGCAGCCACTCGATGTGTCCCTTTCACGTCGATGTTTCTCTCCCTCTCTCCCTCCCTCTCTCCCTCCCACTCTGTCTGAAGATAAATGTAGAAATGTCCTCGGGTGAGGATAAAAAAAAACAACCCGCAGGAGGAGGACCCAGCGCACTCCGCCCCCTCCCTCGGAGCCTGCACCTTCCCCTTCCCACCCCCTCGCCCCAGGCACGGCCCCTTCGCCAGCTCCAAGGGCCCTCCCTTTGCCTCTGCACCTTGTCTCCTCAGCCCATTTCTTCACGAATCACTTCCTTCACCTCTGACCTTTCATAAATAAACGTCCCTTTGCAGTGTGAGTCCCATCTCGGAATCCTCTCCCACCCAAACGCAAGTAAGAGGATGCGGGACCCGGGTCTGGTCTGAGCCCGCGGGTCTGACACCTGGTGCCAATCCGTTGCCCCCGCTGAGGAGCTGCAGCCCAGGGGGCAGGAGGTCCACAGGGTCCGGGCAGCCACGCCCCGGGAGGGAGCAGGACAGCTGGGAGAGGAGCTGGGCCGGCTCACCTGTCCGCCCACGTTCCAGGAGACGGTGGGCCGAGGGTGCCCGGACGCTTCACAAGACAGGTTCAGCATCGTGTTCAGCTGCGCCCGCACCCTTCTCTCCTTCAGTGCCATCCACGGGGGCCCTGGGGGCGGGGGCAGCATGAGGCGGCGACTGCGGGCCCCTCCTCTCCCCACAGGGCACGCGGGGGCTTCCTGTCCCCAGACAGGCGGAAGCACCCAGCTTGGGGTGGATTCCAGGGGCCAAGCGATCTCAGCTGAGGTCCTCACCCGAGACGGCCACGTTGACCAGCCGCGTGGAGTTCAGGCCAGGAACGCGGGGCACGGACACCACACAGAGGTAGCCTCCCCCTGCCTCCCGGTTCAGGTTGTGCAGTCTGAGCTCCGGTCCCCTTTCCAGCACCTCGCCTGTCTGGGGTGACACAGGTCAGAGGCCACCCCGGCTCCGCCCGCCCGGGTCCAGGGCCACCCGGGTACCTTCTCTCGCAGCCACTGGAACTCCAGCGCCTCGTCACTCTCCGCCTCACAGACCAGGCTGAGGCTGCTGCCCTCGGGGCCTTCGGGGGCCTCGGGGCGCACCCGGACATCGGGCACGCCTGGGGACACGCAGTGGTGTCAGCCGGTGCGGGGCAGGGGCCGTCTCGCCCCGCCTCGCCCCCGTCCTGCGCCCCGCCCCTCACCGTTCACCAGCAGCTCCTGCCGGTCACTGAGCGACGTCATGGTCTCCAGGTCCAGGCCCACACATTCGTACCACCCGCTGTGCGCCTTCTGGGCAGGCTCCAGGACCAGCACCCCGTTGTCGTCCGTGGGCTTCTCCTCCATGTCCATGGTGCTGCTGTTCTGGGGGGGGATGGAGGGGTGAGCCGAGCGCACCCCCGGCCCCCCGCCCGTCTGCAGCAGCGCCACGTCCTCCGCACCTGCTTGCTGATGCTGAAGTGAGGCGGGGGGTTGCCGTCGGCCGCACAGCGGATCTCCACGCGGTCTCCTTCCTTCAGGGTCCCCTGGGGCTCCACTTCCAGCCACACTTTCTCTGCCGGGTCTGCAAGTGGAGGGGAGCCCTGAGCCCCGCCGCAGGGCGGGGAGAGCCCCGCCAGAGCCCCCCAGGCCTGGCCCCAGCGCGCCGGCCGGCACTCACAGAACACAGGGACGGTGACCTCCCTCGACTCCTTCATGTAGCTCCCGCCGGGCAGCCGGTAGTTCAGCTCACAGTGAAAGTGGGCGTCTCTGTCCTCCTTGAGCAGCTGCGCCTTCAGGACACTGCGCAGGGTGTACAGGCCGCTCGACTCCACGATCTGGGACGACTGGATGAGGACCCCTGGGCAGGGAGGGGCGGGACAGCTTGCCTCGGCCCTGCCTCGCCCACCCGCGGCTCCACAGGCCTGGCAGGGGGACCCCTCTGTTCCTGCGGAGGGCCGGGCACAGGCGGCGAGCTGCACCCTCCACCCCAGCGGCTCACCGCTCGGGATCTACCCAGACACGCTCACGGCACCACGCGAGGACGCGTGCCAATTGTGGCGCCTGAGGGAAAAGGAAGGAGACGCTCTGGGCGCCCATGGACACGGGTGTGAGCGGCCGGGCAGATCCAGACAGTCACCTGGGAGGCCCTCCGACTCGTGTCAAGAGGGAAACACGGTACAACAGTGTGCGCCCCACGGCGCGGTTCTGATCGGGTTTCTCAACCTCAGCACCACTGCCGTCTGGACGCGATCACCCTGAGCTGGGGGCTGGCCAGCAGCACCCCGGACCTCCGCAGCGCCCCTCCATTCGGGACACCAGGACTCCAGACACTGTCAAACGTCCTGGAGACGGGCGGGGGCACCCGGCTGAGAGCCGCCAGCTCAGGTAACCAGACAAAGCCCATGTGTTCCCAGGTGCGTCCACAGCCGTGAGCACACAGTGCCAGGCTTGACAGCACACACCCCAACGGCGGAGACTGATTCCGGCAGACGCAATCTTCCTTCCAGATTTTTAGTGCAGTGTACCCTCCTAGGGACATATTTTCAAGTATCGTCGTGCGCTTTTTAAGAAAAGCAAATGAAACAGAGGGCGGTTGTGAGGACGGACAGGGCTACTCACGGTCCTTCTGCTCCTTCAGAGGTTGGCCATTCTTGTACCAGACGACTTGAGGAAGGGGGTACCCATTCCTCCCCACGCAGGTAGCAACCTAAGAAGGGCAGGGTGAGTCTCCCTGCCCGAGACCCCACCAGGCCCGACCTTAGCGCCTCGTCCCCTCTGGCCACCGAGGCGTAGCTCACCTCCTCGGGCTCCCTCCTGTCCACGGAAATGCCCACGGTGTTGGCCTGGATGCTTGGCTCCTCTGGGGCTTCTGCGAGGGAGAGAAAGAAGGGGCTGGGCCAGCTCTCTATCCCTCCCACGCTGCCCACCGGCTCGGCGGGCACTCACTGTAGACACGGAGTTGGACGCGGTGCTCCTGGGACCGAGGGTGCCTGCCCTGGCACAGAAAGATGCGCTCGTCATGGGGCGTGACATGTGCCAGGGCCAGGGTGGGCCCCTGGTCCTGGAGGCTGAGCCGGTGCTGGTACTCCCCAGGTATGGTCTGGCCACGGCCCTGGTGCAGGCGGAAGATGAGAGTAGGCTTCTCCTTGTGGACCTAAGGGAGGCAGCACAGGAGGTGGGGTCCTGGGCTGCAGGAGGGGTGCAGCCTCCACCGCCCCTGCCCTCCGCGGAGTCCCAGAACTCACAGAAAACCAGTCCACTTGGCTGAGGTTGCCCTGGGAATGGGAGGGACCACACTGGAGGAGGGCGGTGCTACCCACTTCCACCTCCACCAGCTCAGGTTCAGGCTGCTCTGCCTCTCCAGGCACCCCTGGGGGAGAGAGGAGGGACACCCACAGCTGTGTCAGGCACCCCTGGGGGAGAGAGGAGGGACACCCGCAGCTGTGTCAGGCACCCCTGGGGGAGAGAGGAGGGACACCCGCAGCTGTGTCAGGCACCCCTGGGGGAGAGAGGAGGGACACCCACAGCTGTGTCAGGCACACCTCGGGTGACAGCAGGGACACCTGAAAGCAGTGTCAGGCACCCCTGGGGTGACAGCAGGGACACCTGATAGCAGTGTCAGGCACCCCTGGGGTGACAGGAGGGACACCCGCAGCTGTGTCAGGCACACCTGGGGTGACAGCAGGGACACCCGCAGCTGTGTCAGGCACACCTCGGGTGACAGCAGGGACACCCGGCAGCTGTGTCAGGCACCCCTGGGGTGACAGCAGGGATACCCGCAGCTGTGTCAGGCACCCCTGGGGTGACAGCAGGGACACCTGATAGCAGTGTCAGGCACCCCTGGGGTGACAGGAGGGACACCCGCAGCTGTGTCAGGCACCCCTGGGGTGACAGCAGGGACACCCGCAGCTGTGTCAGGCACACCTTGGGTGACAGCAGGGACACCCGCAGCTGTGTCAGGCACCCCTGGGGTGACAGGAGGGACACCCGCAGCTGTGTCAGGCACCCCTGAAGTGACAGCAGGGACACCCGCAGCTGTGTCAGGCACACCTGGGGTGACAGCAGGGACACCTGATAGCAGTGTCAGGCACCCCTGGGGTGACAGCAGGGACACCTGATAGCAGTGTCAGGCACCCCTGGGGTGACAGGAGGGACACCCGCAGCTGTGTCAGGCACCCCTGAAGTGACAGCAGGGACACCCGCAGCTGTGTCAGGCACCCCTGAAGTGACAGCAGGGACACCCGCAGCTGTGTCAGGCACCCCTGGGGTGACAGCAGGGACACCCGCAGCTGTGTCAGGCACCCCTGGGGTGACAGCAGGGACACCCGCAGTGTGTCAGGCCAGCTGCTCTCCGTCTCCTCCTCTCACACCCGCTCACTGCAGCTGTCCTCCTTCCTGCCACTTCGAGGGTCTGAAGAGGACCGTCCTCTCCTAACCCTCAGCCACTCTACCCTTCCCCTCGGGCCAGCCCCTCGCAGCTGGAGAGTTGGGGTGGCCACCTCTGGGCCCTGGAGCAGAGAGCGGAGCGCCAAGCAGTCCCAGATGAGGCTGGCAGAGAGGGGCAACCAGGCTCTGGGCCAAGAGGAAGGCCCCTTTCCTTCCAGGCCCCCCTCTCCCAGTGAGCTCAGGGCGTGGGAATGCAAGGCATGTGCCAGGCTGGGGCACACAGGCCCCTTTGTGTCCTCACACCCAAGGGAAGACATCACTGCTCTACCCTTTGCCCCCCAAAGGACCCCCCAACACCCACCGGTCTAATCCTGGCCCGAGCTCCCCTTCTGCCCCTAAGCAGCACCTCCGTGAACATCTGACACACTCAGGGGACCCTATCCTGGGAGTCTTGTGGGCATGGCGGAGTCAGAGTCCCTCCCAGGGGTCAAGACGAGGGCCAGGCAGTGGGCAGGAGTGACGTCAGTGGTGCCCGCGCTGCCCGCTCCGTCTGGAGGTGACGTCACTGGATCCCGCTGCCCGGACTCTGAGGTGCCACAGCTGGGTGCCGGGTTGCTGCACTGGTCTGGCTCCCACACAAGGACAGACGGAGTGGTTTCACCCCCAGCAGAAGCCTCAGATCCCTGACTGTACCCCCAGCCCTAGAGGAGCAGGGTGGGTGGGCTGGACCTGGGGTACCTGGGGCCTCATTTAGCCCTTTCCCCAGAAAAACAGTCAGCTTGGCAGGCAGCAGCCCAGGTTACCCCAGGGACGCTGTGGGCACTGGGCAGAGGGCCAGCGAGCTGGGTGTGGGCCAGCCCTCCTTCCCCGGCGGACAGCGGCTGCGACCAGGGAGAAGGAGCCAGAGACCCGCGGCACCAGCGGGCCACACATACACACAGGGGCCGCGTGACGCCGGAGCGCCCGGCTCCGCGCAGGTTCGGGCACGGGTGCTCTCCCCACCTGGAGGGGGTCCCGTTCCCGCAGCTGTGACACCTCTGGGGCGCTTCCACTCTGGGAACCCTCGTCTCTGCTACCTGTGGTCCCCTCCCCGCCAGATGTGAGGCGACCCACGCAGCCCCAGCCTCTGCCAACGCCCAGCTCGGGCGGGAGCCGCCGCCCGTCCCCTCTCCCTCACCTCCAGCCTGGCTCGAAGCCCGGGCGGGAGAGGGGGGTCGCGCACCCTCCAGCGAAGAAAGCTGCCTTTCCAGCAACAGGCGGGCGCGCGATCCCCGATCTGGGACAACGCTCCCCAGCTGCGCGTCCGCCCGCGCTCCGACCGCAGCGGCCGAGGACCCACCTGAAGGCGCCTCCCCGCCCCGAGGGCCGGCCCCGCCCTTCCCCGCGCGGCCGCTCCTCCCGCCTCCACTCCGCTTTCACCCTCCCCGGAGGGGACTGTTCTCCACGGATATTCCTGAGTGGAAGGGCCGGGGGAAGGGCTAGCAGCGGGGGAGGGAGGGGGGGAGAGATGGATGTGCCTCCCGAACTGGGGCCAAGTTCGAACTCGCCATCCAGGTTCGTGCCCTTGACCGGACTCCCTCTCCCCGCGAGCCGCGCGGGCGGGCGCCCCCCACTCTCGCCGGGGCACCCGGACGGGGCGCGCGCAGGGCGCACGCGGCAGCGCGAAGCTGCGGCCCCTCCGCAAGGCCAGCTCCGGCCCTTCGGGGCGCGGTCCCCGGAGACCTCACTCACCCGCGGCGCGGCGACAGCAGCAGCAGGCGGCCAGCAGGAAGGCGCAGAGGAGCCTGGACAGCCCCATGCTTCCCCGCGGAGGCCGAGCGCAAAGTGAGAGCCGGGCCACCGCCGCGCTGACGTCAGGGGGGAGGGGAGGTGGGGGAGGGGGCGAGCGCCCGGCGGCCCCGCCCCGCAGCCCCCGGACCGGCCAGCGCGCCGCCGCCCTGGGCGCCGACCGCAGGACCCGCGCCGTAGCCGCACGGGCCAGGGAGAGGCGGCCCCCCAGCCCCCACCGTGGGAAGGGTGCGAGGGCAGAGACAGGTGTCTCCGGCCGGGCCGGCTCCGGGGGCGGCAGCAGCGAGAAGCTGGCCCGAGTAGCCGGAGTCCCACGGTCAGAAGCAGCCGCGCTCAAGCCCCCTCAAACCCTAGCAGCCCGTGCAGCCCCGGGGGACCTCCTGGCGGAGGAGCAGCGGACGGGGCCCTCCCGTTCGGGCCTGTCGCTCCGCCGCCTCCGCCCTGCCGGACCTCTGCCACAGAAACCCGCCGGCCTCGGCCGCTGCCCAGGACGATTGCACGGTGGCGGTGCCGCCCTCCTGGCCCTGCCCCTCGCCCGCAGTCCTGGCGTCTGAGGACCCACAGACCCAGAGGTACCTGCCCTGGGGAGTGGAGGTGGCGCCTTTGGGCTGCCCCTTCGAACCCACGCTCCTGAGGTCTGCCCTCGACTGGACGAAGGGGGAGGGGTCACCGGCCCAAGGCCGCCTCTCACTTGTCCAAGCCCAGGCCTTGAGGTCTCTGCCCTCTTTGCTCACGGAGCCTGGGACTCAGTTTCTCCTCGTCTGAACGAAACGAGGGGAAGAGTTCATGGGCCCCAGGTCTCCCGCTTGACCTCAGAAAACCTGTTGCAATTCTTGACAGTTGGAAAAACTCCTGCAGCAGAACTCCACCCCCTCTACCCCCCAATCCCGGGGCTCCCCAACACTGTTCTTTGTGGCTCGGTAGCGGGGGGTGGGCACGGAGTCCTCAGATCTGGCTTCAGGGTGCAGGGCCTGATGGAGTCTGCCGCACAGCGAGGCGTGGGCAGCCTGCAGCGCCCCTTTCCCCAAACCCTAGTCTCCTGGCCTCTTGGACTGAGGCTCTGGGGAGTGGGAGGGGCCCCAGCCTCGGAGAGATGCTTGCCCCGGCCCCTGGGACTCCTTCAGCGGGGAGGGCGGAATGGGAGCCCGGCCACGCCGACTTTCCGCGGCTTGGGGGAGGAGCAGGGTGAGGCAGCAAACGCCAGGGATGGGCAGGTGATTCGGAGAGCGCTCTGGGACGGCGCTCTGATGACGCAGAGATGACTGGCAGAGCGCACAGCCTGGGCCTTCAGAACCGTGCGACCCCTCCCCCTCCGTTGGTCTCCAGCAGGGACCCTGCCTAGCCGACCCGGGGGACGCGGGGTGGGCTGAGGACCACGGCTCCCAGCCCCGAGAGTGAATGTGTGGACTGGCCAGGCTGCAATGGAATGGATGAGCTCGTGTCTGCAGGCGCCGGAACGGGGCCGGCTGACGCCTGCTGTTTGCCCCGCAAGCCCAGAGCTGAGCATCGGGCTCCACGGCCCTGTCCCCACCCCCTTCCCTTCCCTTCACCCGGTGAACTAATCATTCTCCTCTCTCAGGCCTGAAAATAAAGCCAGCTAACCACCAAGGACAGTCGGTTCGCAGTTCTTCTGCCCTGAGGAGAGCGAAGGCCGGTGGGTTAGAGGAGATGCCTCTGCAGTGGGGGGAACGAAGTTAGAGACCAGGTGACGCCCCTTCCCCGCGTGGCCCCATCGACCTACAAAGCCCGCAGCGGGAGGCGACCTGAGTGGCCAGGGGGCAGACAGTTTGGGGTGTCTTAACGAAGGGGGCACCTGGAGATTCCAAACCAAAGGGGCAGGGCCTTGGAGGGGGTTTGCAGGGAACCGGACCAGGAAGAAAAGCTGCACGAAGAACAGGGTGGAGCAGAAGATGTTGGGGAGCCGCTCTCCACCAGGCCAAAGACTAGAGGTTCAGCAGAGGAGGGACCGAGGTGGCGGAGGAAGAACGTGGGGTCCAGAAGGGGAGACCAGGGGGCAGGGATGGGCCTTCCACCACAGACTCTTGCGCCTGGACGGGGTTGGAAGCAGGCTTGCTCAGGTACAGGCCAAGGTCAGAAGATGCCCTGGCAAGAGTCCTAATTCTTCATTTCCCTGCAGAAGGAAGAGGCAGGGAGGTGCCTTCCTGTAGACCCAGGCTCCTGGGGAGGAGAGAGCCTGCAGTGAGGCCCTCTGGGTACCTCCTGGCACAGGTGTGACTGAGGCTGGGTGGGGTGGGGGCCAGAATCTGGGTGCCTCAGCTAGTCTCCAGTGTGGGCGGGGCTTTCATTTCATTGTAAGAAGTGGAGAAAAATGGGGTCCAGTGGAGTCACAGGTAAAAAGACAAGGGGCCTGTCCCCCAGGGGCTCACTGGGGTGAGATTTGAACCTAGGAGCTCCCCGCCCCCAGCTCTAGCATCGTGGGCACAATGACCTCTGGTCCAGGGACCTCCCCGGAGGATTCGAGAAGGGCAGGCCAGCTGAGGAAGGAAGCTGATCAAGACAAGTCTGCAGCTGCAGGGAGAAGGAGCTGGGGGTAGAGAGGGGTGGCCCAGCAATCTCGCCAGCTAAGGAGGCTGGGGAACCCCCTGGACTGGCCAGGGTTGGAAGTGAGGTAGGAGGGTATTTCCAGAACAGGGGTTGCGTTGGGAGGAGACCGGGAGTGAAACAGGGTTGGGGGGTGGGGGCCCTTGTTGCTGAGGACTCCTTGGGCCAGGAAACCGGATACTGGGGGGCTGGGTGGAAGATGTGGGGAAGGGATTGAATGAGGGGAAGCAGCCCCTATCCTGGCCGGACGTAGTCTCCCCCGTGTCCTCTGCACCTGACCCAGGGCAGGAGGAAGGTGCTTGGGGACTGAGGTGTGCCCAGAAACACTGTGGAAGAGGAGGCGGGTGGGGGATGGGAGGGGCTATTTTTAAACTTGGAAGAAACGTGAGTTCATCTCCACCCTGAGTGCTGGAGGCTGCAAAGGCCCCATTGTACAGGGGTCCGGAGGCGGGGTGAGGAGGGTGAGTGGCACAATGGCGAGGCTTATGTGGGAGCCGCACGGGGAGTAGGAGGTGGGGGGGGGTCTTCACAGCTGCCGGCTGACTCTGGGTCCAGCCACGCTGGGGCTCGGACAGGGGCGTGTCCAGGCACACAAAGCCCCCTGTTGGGGAGCAGGGTCTCTGGCATCCTGGCCCATCCTGGGGAGGGGCTGTGGGTGGGATTCCCACAGCCTGGCTTTCCCAGGGACGGCAGGGTCTGTTCCCAGGCCCCCAGCATTCCAGCGACTCCCCTGGGAGCTGACTCTGTCAGCCCCTTCCCAGCCAGGGAGTCGGGAGAGGAGAGAGGATGTGGATGTATAGGAACTCTTCTTGGGGGCGTAGGGACCCTTAAGCCAGAGAAAGGGGGCGGCAGTGGGCAGGTGGTTATGCTGAGGGTGGTCGCAGCCCTGCCATCCTGGCCCTCACCCGGCTGTGCGCTCGGGCTGCAGACGGTCACTCCTGTCCCCTCCGACCCCAGAGGCCTCTCCACTTGGACAGGCCTCCAGCACGCACAGCCCCCAGCCCAGGGGATCCCGGGGCATCCGAGAGCCCCAGCTCCCCAGGTTTCGCCCGGAGGAGGCCCGGGAAGGCGGGGTATCCGGTCCAGGCGCACCGACCCAAACATTACCATAAATGCTCAGGCTGTCGCGCCGCTGGGAGGGGCTCATGCTGGGGACTCTGGAGCCCTCCGGAAGCCCCAAATCCGGCCTTCAGGGCACGTGATTCAGTCTGCTCGCCCCCCACTGTGGAAATTGCACTATAGAGTTCGGGTGGAGTTAGGGAGAGATCCCAGGCTGCGTGGGGGGTCCCTGGGGATTGCCTCTTGGGTGCCCAGTGACCTAGATGAACAGAGTAGGACCCTCCGGCCCTGAGTTCAGCATCCGGACACGTGTGAAGGCTTCTGGGTCTCTCTGGTTCTGCAGGACCTTCTGCTGTGAGCCGCAATAAGGGGCCCCCCTGAAACCCGAGCCTCAGGTCTCTGTCCTCTGAGGGCTGAAACCACTTCCCACCTGCTCGTCCCACCAAACTGGAGATTGCAGCCTGCTGGAGAGAGGGTTGGAAACAGGATGCTGGCAGCTTGCATCTCTCCCCCTCTGGGAAGTTCACCTCTGCTCCCCAAAATACCGCCACCCAGGGGGAGGAAGTCTCCAGAGAGCTGTTTAAATTTGCCTCGGATTTGTCCCCGAGGACGGCCAGCTAAGACGACAGCAGGAAGCCTGTGGGAACCCAGGGCCGCCAGGCCTGTGTCTCCTGTCCCGCTCCTCCCTGAACCCACTTCTGCCTTCGTTTCTCCTTTCACACAGAGCGTGGAGCAACCCAGGGGGAACCCTGGAGGAGGAAGCCTTGTTCCACCCCACCCTGGTGGGGCCTGTGATCCCCCCTGTGGTTGCCACAGCTGATCTTGGGGGAGGACAGTGGGAGAAAGAGGAGAGGAGAGGAGAGCGGAGGCCGCTCCCTGCCCCACACGCCAGGGGCTGGGGCTTCAGAACTTGAAAGTGGGGCGAACACAGGGTTTGGAGTCAGAGAAAAGTCCTGGACTAGATCAGCCGGCTGCGCACCCTTCACATCCCCTGGCGCCGGACAGCACGGCTTCAGCTTTGTCTCACACACCCGGCTGGAGACTCCGGGCGGGAATCGGCGACTTGGAGGTGTCCCTGCCACTGTGAACCGTGGCAAGTGACTTCCGAGGGGACACGGCAGTGCTCCGATGAGGGAAGGAGCTCCCACCGGGAACATCCGTACAGTGCTGCCCAGCGGAAATGTCTCATGTAAGGGTCATTTTCATCGCTGATCTTGATTGTGATCTTTGCAACAAAAAGTAAGGAAACAAAGAATGACATGACCTACAGCCACGCAGCCCGGGAGTGACGGAGCTACACTGTTGCACTGTAACACAATGCACATTACAGAACGTTGACTTCTTAACCACTTGAAGTATATGACTCAGTGGCATGAAGCACATTCACAGTGTCACGCAGTCGTGGCCACAGTATCA